ACCCCTAAATTTTTTATGTGTAGACAGGACTCCAAGGAGCCCAAAAACTCCCCAAAGGAAGCAATAGCTGGGAGGCAGAGAATTCAACCCTGCCTGGAAGATAGAATCAGGAGTTCAAGTCTTGCCAAGTTAAAGGGGTTTAGCAAACACGGCTTTTGATTTAATTCCAGAAAACCATGTCTTACAAATAAGTACAGGACTAAGGGTTATACCCTAGGGCTATGGGCAAAACCAAAACAAATCTATCTGAACAAAATCTAAAACCAACCTCTACAAGCTCAAGTGGATATACCAGTAATTTGCTTGCTAGAACAAAACATAACATTCTTCAGAGGAAAATAATAAAACAGTCTTTTCAATGTATCATCCAAAATGTTCACTACAGAATTAAAAAATATATAGACACGCAGTCAAGAGAAATAATAGTCAATAAAATCAGACCCACTGATGAACCAGATGATGGATTTAGTAAATAAGAACTTTAAAATGGTTATTATATGCACAGGATTTTCAGTAAATGAAAGATAGAATAAATAAATGGTTAGAGAATCTCAGAAGAGACATGGGACCTATAAAAATAAACCTAGGTAAGTTCTAGAAACAGCAGTAAATTCTAGAAATAAAGTACCTGACATAAAACATATTTTGGATGAAATCAATAGTAGATTAGTACTGCAGAAGAAAAGATCAGCAAACTTGAAGACAAGTAATAGAAATGATCCAAACTGAAGAACAGAGTGAAAAAAGGGAAAAATAAATAAATACACGGAGCTTCAGTGACCAGTGGGACAATACCTAATGTATAAATGGAATTCCAGAAGGAGAGAGCAGAATTGGGCGGAAGAAATATCTGAAGGAATAATGACCAAAAATTACCCCCACATTCCCAAATTCAGTAAGAAACATCAGCCCATCGATCTAAGAAGCCTAGTGAAGGCTACACAGAATAAATACAAAGAAAGCCACATCTAGTCACACCACCGTCAAACTGCTCACAGTCAAAGATAAAGAGAAATCTTAAAAGAAGTCAGAGAGAAAAAGACTATGTACACAGGAACAACAATAAAGAAGAAAACTGACTTCTGATCAGAAACAATGTAGGCCAGAAGGCATTTAAAAAGTTCTAAGCGGGGAGGAGGTCAATTTGGGATACGTGAAGCTTGAAACGCTGGTGAGACTCCGATGTTGCAGAGTACAACAAAGGTCTCCTCCCAAGCACTCCCTGATAACACACATTAGCCATGCATTTCCTCCGACACACTCCAACCACACACACAGTGCCTCAGTTCAACACCTCAACATTCCCAATAGAAAAAAAAAATTATAGCTGTCAGGAAGGTGAAAATACATGAAATCATTTATACAAACTGAGAGACATAATTAAGATTCTTTGTATTGTGCCACCATGTAAACAATACATATGTTTTCATCCTGATAAGAAAAATGAAGATCTTCTCCTCCTTAAATGCTTTAGTCACATACGATTTGGTCCAATAGGCTGGCGGAATTGTGGGAACAGTGCTCCTAGAGGAAGTCAGGGGAATCCAAGATCCAGGAGCCGTCAAGGCAGAAGAAACCTGGCAAATGTGCTGCGTCAGTGTGGGAGGAGCTTGGAGCAGCAGCAGCGCGCGTTTCCTGAGCAACTGCTGAACGCTGAATGCCAGGCATTGTGCTAAGTGCTTCAGGTGCGTTACCTTAATCCTCACACCACCCTGAGGAGTATTATCATTCCCTTTTTTAAAATGAAGAAACACAGTTTGAAAGGGAATCAGAAAGTTGCCAGGTTAGTCACAGAGTTGGGATTTGAGCCCAGGCCTGTTAGACTCTAAGCCACAGCTATTCACCCTCCCGCCATCAGCCGTTCGTTGTGTTCATCCCACTGGACTGGGCTGGACAAAGGAGAGCTCCACATGGCTACGCCCCCAGTGCTCAGGGAACCCACAGCCAAGGAGGCAATAAAAGTTACTACAGCCAGCACTTACTGAGCACTTACTATGGACTAGCCATTGTGTGTGACAATGTGTCACATCGTATTTAATCTTCACAGCAGTCCTATGTGGTAAATCCTTGTATGTCTCCATTTTACAGGTGAGCAAAGGGAGGGTCCGGTTGGACTAGGATTTGACTCCACGGCTCGGGCTCCTCAGCAGCATACCCAAGTGCCCAAGGCACCAAAGGGGCAGGGGCCATGCAAAGACGGACGGAGCAAGACCACCTGGTGCTCCTCCCCCGCTTGATGAGATCCTAGGAACGTGGACTTGAGAAAGCAAGTTTGTTTTCAAGGGACTTCGGCTGCATCTGTTCTAGAGAGAGGGAATGTCCAGGGAATCCCCCTCCTCACCGACCCAGTGAGTCCAACTGCTTCTCTTACCAGCATGGCTGCAACCATCTCCCCAGCTCTGGATGACTTGTCTGCCACTCCCATCAATCCAGGCTGCACGCAACCATCACTGGGGCTTTTAAAAGTAGCAGCAAGTTGGAACACTGCCATGCGTAAAGCCTCGCAGTGGCTTCCGAGCATCCCTGGGATAAAGCCCCACCTCTCTCCCCAGGCCTCGTGCTCTGCCCTGCTCCCCTTCTCTCCTCAGCCAAGCGCACTTTTCAGCTCCTCAAAAGAACTCCCTGCGCTGCTCCTGCCTCAGGGTCTGCTCCAGTTACCGCTGCTGTAACAACCTCTCACCAAAACTTAGCAGCCTACAGCTACCGTTTTCTTATCGCCATGGCTTCTTCAGTCAGGACTTCAGATATGGAGCAGTGGAGTGCCTTATCTCTGCTGATGTCTGGGGCCTC